GAACGAGTTCCCGATCTACCAGTTGCCACTCAAAAGCTACAAACTTCTGACGAAGCTATTCTCGGCGGAGAAGATGTAGTTTTCGGCTTTAGTTTACCAAAGAGACAATTGTTCAGAGACTCTGGTGTCAGGTACAGTTTCCATTTCCATTGCCAACACTTTCTTACTAATTTTCCTTTCCTATTCTGATCATATAGAAATGCTAAGGTATGGATGCCTAATATCTACCGGACAACCGTTTATAGTGAAGTACTTGACACCTATTTGAGTATAGTGTGTACAAAACACGCTCTCAATTTAATTCACGAGGCTCATGGATTCGATAATTATATCCTTCGGACACCAATTCAAGACCTTCAATCAAAATTGGCTCTTAAGCTTCGTCGAAAGATGCTGATAACATTAGCTAAAAACGATTTCCATCCAAATGATCCTGAAAAATTTGAATTAGTCAAGAATAAATATCAAGATTGTAAAATTCCGGTAAGTTTGTCTATCAAATTTCCTGTAATATAATAACTGTAATCATACTCAAGCATATCAAACCCTCAGTGTATTTTAATTGACAATGAGATTGTATATTTTTGCCAATCATTGTCAATGATCACTTGATTGTCACCATTGTCCTTTCACGAAACTATATCCAATTAATTTGTCTCATGTTGTACATTTACAGTTGGAAGAAGCTGAATGGATTGGGTTAAGTTGGGCTCAAGCTATTGAAAAGAATCACGAATCAACCTACAAACAATCAGAACCATTGAAAGTAAAATATATCAACGATTTAGTGAAAAAACTAGAAGGTTAGTTAGACTGTTAATTGTAAAGATTGACAGTTAGATTGTGAAGTAAAAAAAATCATCAGAGATTAAGAATCTTATCTAATATGTTTCCATTAATCTTGTTGACAGATTTAAAAGCCAGTGGGGAAATGCCAGAGCAGAAAAGGTAATTATTACCCTTCCATTAGGAAAATCACAATTCAATCTAATTAACCTCTAAACCATCATTAACTAATCTCCATCTTTTAATTGTCTTCTTCTTCACAGTGAACCACAAAGTCTATTGGATCGAGCTAAAAGTTTACTTCATCTCAGATGAATCATCAATAATTTCATCAACTCTTTTTCTGTTATTGTTTATATATAGAAACCTGATTTCATTACATGATTATTACCTTGTTCAGTTTAAAAACAATCGTTAATTTGATTATCGGAAAGAAAGTGAATAAGGTAAAGAGGAAAAGGTGTGTCAGTGATTGAGTTGAACACAATTTGAAGTAAACCAAATGAATCATGGTAATTATATAATTGTATCTGTTCACATATTAACTATACTTAAAAACGAGTCGATATTTTTCCCGTATTCACAATTAATTATTCATTAACATTCAACAATTATACAGAAAAGGAGCTCAATTGTTTGATTTCATGGTTGGATTGATAGTGTTTAAGTCTGTTGTTGTGTTGATGTTGTTTTTCACATTTCACAATTAAAAAGTCTTTCAATTGATTTAATCTTTTTTTGAGTTAAAAAAAAATTTAACCAATTTCAGTTTTATTATTATCATAAAAGTAATATCATCAGAATGTTGAGCTTACTCAGATGACAATGAACTTCTGAATAATTTTTGTTTTTGTTTTGTTTCTTTGACAAAAAGAGATTTGATATTGTTGGGAGATTAATACTTTTCCTTTTTTTTAAGAAGTGAATGAAACGATCAGCACAATAAGAAAGACAATAAATATTCCAGCTAAAATGGCCATCATTTTCATGTTTCTCCACCATTGTTTACGCTTTAATTTACCAGCTTGTTGTTCAAATTGTGAGGCACCTTGTTGCAAGGCATCAGCTCGATTATCCAATTCACTTAATTTCTGATCCCGTTCCAAAACTTTTTCCACATTATGTTTCATAATACCGACAACCTCTTCCACCTGAGCTTGAGTTTGTTGAAGCCGTTTAGATGATGCAGGAGCACCACCACCACCGCCACCGGCAGATCGGTTACCATCATATCCAGTTGACCTAATATAGCACAGAGAGGGGGGAGAGAGAACAAGAAAAACATACACATATACAGAAAATAATCACCACACACAAAGAAAGAGCATATAAAAGAGAAAGAAAGAAAGAAAAGATTGAAGGAAATAGAAAAAAATGAGAAAGATTAACAGACAAGTTTTACATCAAGGGGAGTTTTCAAGGTTTGAAGGTTGTGATTCCACTTGTTGCTTTCTTAGAGGCAACAAAAGATCACAGGTAAAATATTAGAATATCGACAAACCAATGGAGATAAAAACTAAATACTCACATTTTTATACAAAGACAAAAGTAAAACCACAATCAGAGTAAAAAAAGAAATAAAAAGTTAATCAGAAAATAAAAGAAACAATTAAACAAAATAAAAACAATTAACGTCAAGTGTTTGAAGTTTAATTTCTGCCCCTCAAGCGAAGGCCCTTCATTCATTCACTTGCTGAGTCAACTTGTGTTCCACGATCACTGACATCTGGTGGACAATAAAACAACTATTTTCTCGTATTCTTTTTAAATCTTTTTTATTCTTTAGAAAAATTAATTTTCTAATCAATCAGATTAATTGTCATTTTTGTCTCTACTTTGAAAATGATTACTTTCAATTATTTAGAATCAATTTGTTAGTAAGTAATTTGATGAAGAGAAAGATGAGAAAATTTCAACGTAATTTGAAACATTTATTTCAAAAGTTCTGTTGATTTGAAAGTTTTAACCGAATCTCTGATTACGAGTTAATTGTTGAATTATAGCCAATCAATTAAGAATTTAATTCAATATTTGTATCTTGTTTTTTTTTCTTATTCCTCAATTGTATCATCATTAGTTATCAATTGTCTCTGTTTCATTAATCTTAATATTTTAATTGATTTCAGTTAATTTGAATTTAATTTGTAACAATTTAAAAAACAAAGTTCACTTCTTGTATTACAAAGTTTTATACTAATAGAAACAATTTTGGAGAAATATAAAATATAATAATCTTCTCCTTGTTATCATATGATAAACTTTTTTTGTGTATATGTTTTTAAAGTAATCGTAACAATTTGATTTTGAAAATAAAGTTGATTATGACCATCTAATGGTGGTTAATCATTTGACTTTTAAGTTGCTTTAATACGTTGATGATTATTTCACGAAGGGTAAGAGGTTTACAATGTTCCTCTAGCCAACCGAATATACCACCAGAAAGTTCATCGAAATTTTTAACTGTAACTGAAGAATCAAATGATTGGAAAAGAGAATCACAAATTGCTTGGAAAACTTGAAATTTAACATCTTCACTTATTTGATTACACGATTGTCCAGGTTGAGCTTGTTGATGGTGTTTAACTATACGCTCATAATTAGCCTTCATTATTTGTAAAGCAATAACCTCTTTACGAAGAGACTGTAAACAAAATATAGAAAAATAAAATCAGAGAAAAACTTAACGTTAATTTCTTAGGCCTTGGAGATAATTTAGTAACAAACTTACTTGTAAATCCTCTTCCTCTTTTTTCTGCTGTGATTGCATATATTGAATATATTCAATTGATCGTTGAAGAATCGTCGCTTTGCTCAATTTATAACTTGAAACAGAATCTTGTTGAGCACAAGTTGGTACCAATGATTGAAGTTCCTCATAACCTTTTTTAATTGCATCTCTACGTTTTTGTTCAGCCATAGTATGAGCCTCTCGGCGTCTTTCCTTATAACTGGTGGTGGATTTGTGGTCAGAATCTTCATCATCAGTGGTTAATGAAGCATCAGTATTGTGGGTAGAAGATGCAGAAATCATGTTGCTTGTTGACAACAAGAAGAAACGAAAAAAAAAGAGCAAAAAAATCAAAAACTCTAAGAGGAGAGAAAAGAACAAAAAAAAAACTTAAATTAGAATTGAAAATTTTTTTTCTTTTTAAAACAATAACTTGAAATAAAGAGTAAAAGTGAAAGTAAATAGCGTTCATACTTACCCAAAAAAAACGGATTAACAGAAAACCAATTTAAGAGGCATTAAAATGGCCTTTGTTGTGATTAGAGATTAAAGATTAGTTAATTAACGATAATTAAAGAGAGAACGTTTGTAAACATTGGTTGTTTTCTTTTCTTTTCTACCACCAGATGGCAACAGGTTCGAAAGAACAATTGACCAATCAGAGTGAATTCATCTGATCGAATATTTTTAGAGATCTTAGCCAGCCGAGCTTCGACTGGCTGGCTAACTAATGACTTTTTTATTCTTTAGAAAAATTAATTTTCTAATCAATCAGATTAATTGTCATTTTTGTCTCTACTTTGAAAATGATTACTTTCAATTATTTAGAATCAATTTTTAGTAAGTAATTTGATGAAGAGAAAGATGAGAAAATTTCAACGTAATTTGAAACATTTATTTCAAAAGTTCTGATGATTTGAAAGTTTTAACCGAATCTCTGATTACGAGTTAATTGTTGAATTAAAGCCAATCAATTAAGAATTAAAATTCAATATTTGTATCTTGTTTTTTTTCTTATTCATCAATTGTATCATCATTAGTTATCAATTATCTCCGTTTCATTAATCTTACGAGTTGATTTGATCTCTCTAGATGATTAACTTTTAGTACTTTTAGTTGCTCACTTTTACTTATCTTAAAGTTAATCAATTAAGTTAATTAGTAATAGATTAACTTGGATAATCTAACAAGTAGTTAAGTAAATATCTTAATGTATGTAATCTTAGATTTGTAATCAAAGACAAATAAACTGATAAGTGTCAAGTTGATAAAAAGTAATTAAGGTTGTTGCTTTTCTTTATCAACTAATTGCTACCCGAAAACCAACAATTTGTTAATTACATAATCATCCAAGTGAATTAAATGTAAATTCCGAAGTAAAACATTTAAGTGATCGCGATTTTAATCGAACTAGAAAAAGAAAAAGATTAATTAACTAAAATAATAATAATAATCTAAACTCATTAACCGAGAAGAAATTAACTAATTTCCATTGATAAAATAGCCTTTGCTTTTAATCATAGATAACTGCAAAGAAAGATGATTGTTAATTGTTACCATAAATTATTGGTTGATTTTACTTCAATCGAGTGAAATCTATGAAGTGCTCTGGTTAATTTTAATAACAATTGATTTGTTGTTTGTTGGTTGGATTGATTTGTTGTTGGTGTTGAGATGTTGGTTGTTTGTTGGATGATGAGATGATAAGATGATGATGATTTTGGTCAGGTGAGATATTAGTGGAATCATGTAACCATATCTTCAAAATTAATTTGCTTTTGTGTTTTTTTTTGTGAATGCTGATTAATTGGTGTTAATTGGGATGAGAAAAGGTAACGAAACAAAAGTTACTAACTATTGGGACATTTGTTTTGCTGGTTAACAATAGCTAAACTCCTCTTTACAAGAAACATTATGATATTAAAACTATCCTAAGATATTCAAGTCTGTCTCCAGTATAAATCGTTCACCATACCGTTTTTTAATCAAATTAATTATAATGACATGAAGAGAAAAGAAGAGAAAGAAAGATGGGAAAAGAAGGGAGCTAGAGATAGAGATAGAGAGAGAGAGAGAGAGTTAAAGAGTTTGGGCAAAGGGATGAGAGATAGTACAAAGTGATAAAAGAGGATCGATTCTGATAAATTGAACTTTTCCTACAGTCGTCCGTAGATGAACAGTTAAGAGAATGGAGGAAGTTATGGTACCATGTATCGATACAATCACACCTTTCCTTGATTTTACAAGTTTGCTTTTCGTTGAGAAGAGAAGGGTTCAGTTGGTTGAATTTTTTTATCAAGTTTTAAGTGTATTTTATGTAGAGGTGATGTGTGGGTATTTCTTATCTTCTTGTGGAGAGAGGGGTTGAGGTGATGTTGTATCTCAATTTTATACGAGCCAAACTGCAACTTGCTTTATGATTTTATTTGTTTGTTTGTTTGTTTGGTGGTTGTATTGAAGTTTGTATTAAATTGTTTGTTGGTGGTTTTCTGAGTGATTATTTTCTCAAATATGGATGATAACTTTCAATGAAGTTCCGAGCTCTCTGGCTTGGGAGTTAGTTGAACGGCTTCTTGAAGGGTTGAATGAGGGGTTGCATGAGCTGCTGCTGCTGCTCCGGGAGCTCCGCTAGGCATGGAGTCAAGTGTGGTTGAGTGGGGAGCCATTGAATGAAAATTGTATCCTGCGGACCCGTTTAAAGTTTCTCCGTAAGCACTCGAGACGAAATACTCTTTGTTAACACAATTACGTAGAGAATCTGGTATACGTGCAACTATAGCTCGTCTAATCTCAGCTGCAGCCATTTCACGAAGCTCAGTGCAACTTGCCTCACTGTACCACGCTGCATGGGGTGTAATTATCAAGTTTGGTGCGTCCTTGAGTGGTCCTGAAATTTTGAATTTTGTTGTTTTCATTAAATATTGTTTGCACAAAAAAAGGGAAAAGAGAGGGAAAATACATTTCAATTGTTATGATAAAAAAACCAAAAGGATTTAAAAATACATGTAAGAACGGGATAGTAAACTTACCGCTCATTGGACTGTAAGGTTCATTCTCCTGAACATCAAGACCGGCAGCTCTAATTCTTCCATCTTTTAAAGCGGCAGCCAATGCGTTCTCATCAACTAAGCCACCACGTGCTGTGTTGACCAGGAAGGCACCTGAATAAAATAAAAGTTTAAATGAGCAATATTGGTAAATAAAATGACAAGTTGGTTCATTTGACTTAATGTCAAAGTAGAGACAACTTACCAGGCCGCATCTGTTTAATGGTAAATTCGTTAATTAGATGGTGATTGTGTTCATTTAGAGTGCAATGAAGAGAAACACAATCGCTTTGATAAAGCAAGTCTTGCAAAGTGTAGACTCGAGTAAGTCCCAAAGATTTTTCAATACCATCCGGCAAATAAGGATCATAAAATATAACATTAAATCCGAACGCTTTAGCTCTGAGGGCAACAGCAGTACCGATTCGACCTAAAGAGAACAATATAATTATGAAGAATTAGAGATGGAACCAGGTTGGAGGGAATTTATCAAATTGAGCTGTAAACCCAAAACAGACAGTTTAGGCTAAAAAAGATAAATACATACCTAATCCAACAATTCCTAAAGTATCACCGCGGATCCGAGCGCAGCCTGCTGCGGCTTCACGAATTTGTTCGGGTCCTTGAAATTTTTTACCCTCTCGAACCGCGTTTGCTAACCAATATGTCCTTCTATACAAGTTCAGTATTAAACAAAGGGTTGCATCTGCTACTTCTTCCACACCATAACCAGGAACATTGCAAACAGCAATACCTACGAATGAAAAAAAACAATAACAATTAAAATAAAGCGCAAATTAAATAAGCCGGTTAAGAAAAAAATAGAAAATTGTAAATATTTAAGCTTGAAAGATCCAATGACAGCAGAGAAAAATAGATATAGGGAAGAGCTAAGACAATGAGAACTCATACTAGAAAAGAATGCAAGATAAAATGATGCTTCTTTACGGGTTGAAAGCATAAAATGATGAGCATTGCAAATGATAAAATGTAAAGAAGGTAATATTTACCTAATTCTCCGGCCGCTTTAATATCAACATTATCAACTCCTGAACCGATCCTAACAATAATACGGAGAGCCTTAAATTTATCGAGATCGTCTTTAGTTAGTGTAATTGTATGCCACATAAGGGCTCCAACAGCTTCATTCAACACTTTCTCATGAATCTCTTGGGTTGATTGGGCATCACAAAAGGCAACGGTTGCTACATCTTTCAATATTGGCATCTCAACTGAGCAGTCCCGTCCATCCAAGAGGGCAACCAGTGGTCTGGTATGCATTGGTCCATTTGAGATGGGACCTCTGCCTCCGACTGTAAATCATGTTACACAGGGGAGAGATAAAGAGAAAGAGATAGAGAAAGAGGGAATAGAGATGATGACAGGGAAGAAAAGACAAACGAGAAAGAGGAAGAGAGATAAAAGAGAAGCAAGAGAAAGAAGAAGAAGCAGACAAAAGAATTAATATCATAAGAATAAAAGGACATAGGAAGGGAGAAAAGATATCAATTAGTGAAAATATTTTAAAACCACCTCAGCACCAAGTGATTGATGACAAAGAAAAATAGGACTTACCTTTTCTCTTGATCATATTTATAACTAAATTATGATTGTTATTTATTTATTAACAAAGACGATTATGAGGAAGAAGAAGATGCTGATGATGATGATGATGATGATGAGAGAGAGTGAGAGAGTGAGACCGAGACACAAAAAAAACAGAGTCAAATGTGATGATAAAAATGAGAAAAAAAAACCTAGAGAGAGAGAGAAAGAAAGAGAAATCGCCACAAAAGAAACTGCAAGAAAGACTCGGTTAAAAGCGCCATTTTGATACGCCCAAATGCGGTCATGCGAACTGAGAACTTTTTTGTCGTAAACGAAAAGCGCCAAATTCAAATGGAACATCGAAGTTCATTCGCCAGGTGGCGACAGTCGCTCTTTTTTCTCTTTTCGATTAACAATTAACACTTTTTCTTTTAATTTTTACAATTAAAATCGTTGATAATTCAACAATTTATTCACTACTATTTATCTTTTTCGGTTTGGGATGTCTGTTCTTTCAAAGAGAATTCTCATTTCTTAGACTGAACATTTACAATTGTTTTCCATGAACAGAAAAGTTTATACGGTCGATTGGAATTTAAATTGTTAATTGTAATTCTTTTCCAACTGAATTTATAAAATGATGAAAGAATTAGTGAAAATTAAGAAGACATTAAAGTTATAATGATGAAAGATGAACATTTGTATTTACACTCTTAGAGGTGAATGGTTGAAATGATGAGAGTAATTGTATTGGTTGAAGTTTGAAAAGTGTCAATTTGAAAGAAAAAAAAAGAGAGAAAAAAAAATTATGATTAATTAATTTACTTAAAGAAAAACAAATGAAATGTTTGTTGACATTTGTTCATCTGTTTGTTTCTTTTCTCGTTTAGTGTCAAAGGTTAACTTTTCTCTCTCACCTTTACCCACAACTTTCTGTTTACTCTGATTGTTACACATACAAATCAACATCTATTTGCTTAATTTTGTTACCCTCAAAGTGATTTCGCTCTTTCAAACAATTTGTTGATCTTATTTTCGTTTTATTATTATTTCATCTTTTACTCATTTAACCTTGATGGTGATGGAAATCATCATGTTAAGTATAATCATAATAATGGATGATGGAGATGAAGAGGAAGACAAATGACGAATATCACTCAATCTCTCTCTCTCTCTCTCTCTCCATTTATCATCCATTAACTTTTCTTCATCTTCATTCTTGTGGTTACCTGGATGATAAAATTAATTGTAACAAAGTAATTGATCCTCCCTGAAGGTAAAGTACTCACTTAATTAAGTAATCCTATCAATGAGCAATCAATTTTCAAAATCTAAGACCAATACAATGTGAAGACAAATTGTTGATCAACTTATTATAAAACTTATCCAGCATTTCAATTGTTATTAACCTTAGATTAGCTTAATTTGTTATAATTAACTTTATCCTTTTCTTTTTTAACTAATATTAACTTATATCAGATGATTAAAAGTTAATCAATTGAAGATATTTAATCTCATCTATTTTTTAATCAGTTTCTTTTACTTTTTTTCACTGATTAGTGATAGACAACAAAACATTATGTCAATCAATATCATGGTAATGATAAGATTTACCTGTTGTAGACCTTAATCAAATTTGATCACGTTTATGTATGATAATCATTTTTAAGATAATGATACAAATCAAACTAAGTGTAATAATTAGATGAAATCTATTGTCTAATCAATAATCACTGTGAAGATAGAAAGAGATGAAGATAATCATGTTCTTACAGTTAGTTAAGAAAAATGTTACTATTTACCAATTATATTAATTGTTTAGACGATTGTGAGAAAGTTAATCAACTAAACTAAAACTAAATTTTAGTATCACACAATTTTCTGTGAGTTACCTGTAGTTTTAATTAACAAATCAACAACATCAATCAATTACTGATTAAAGTTGAGAATAAATTTCAAGAGATAAATGAATGAAAAAAAAAGAGATAATTTAATAATACTAATTAGAATTAGATAATTGTTGTTGATTAAAATTATCAGTTACGCCTTTTTTTCGTGTGTTGTTGTTGTTATGAAGTTAATTGTTACAATTGTTATTAATTTAATTTTCTCCCTTTCTAATTGAGTTTCTCTCTTAATTCCTGTGTATTAATAGTGTCTATAAATTAATCAGCCTTAATGATGATGATGAATATTATTATTGACAACAATTGACGCAATTAAATGTAAAAAAAAAGTAAAATAAATCACGAGGAGGCAAAAATGTAAGTGACTTTGAATGAAACTGTAAGGATGATGAGATGATGATGATGATGGAGAAGATGAAATTACCTGATTGTAATGACTTTGATCATAATTTGGTTAAAACACCTTATTAATAACATTATTAGCATTACACAATTAGGAATCATTTCTCTTGGATGATTCCTAATTATGATGCTAAATGATGATGACGATGATGAAGAAAAACAAAGAGGATGAAGAGATGAAGAAGATGATGAAGGGTGAATTCAGGCTTCATCTTTACTTTTCTTCTTCTTCTTCTCCACCTCCATCACCTATCCAACCTCCTCTTTCTCATTCTCATCATCGTCTTCATCATCTTCCTCTTATTCTTTCTAATAATTAATATTATGAGTCTAACCAAAAAACAAACTTTATGATTATTTCTTTACAGAGAAAGTACTTGACTTTTTATCACTTTGTTACCATAGAATCGGATTAGCAGAGTAAATAGATCCAAAGTTTTTTCTGATAACTTCGAACCAATGGGAGACAAGGGAAAAGAAAGAAAATGGAAAAAGAAGAGAGAGAGAGAGAGAATGAAAATGAGTGAGAAAGAGGGAGAAAAAACTCTGAGATTCAGTAACAATTTATTGTCACAATCTCATCATCATCAGCATCGCCATCGCGTACCAAATGCTAAGCCAAAAGTATTTGAACGTTAAACAAGAAATAATAATGGCAGGTAAGGAATCGCCAATCGACTCGGCCCACAATGATAGTCTAAAAAATAAGATGACCGCCGATTCAAATGCCACTAATCAGTTAACTTCATCATCATCATCATCATCGTCCTCAAATATAACCACTTCAATTTCACCATCTAAATCAAACATGATTGAAAATCCCAAGATTGGTAAGAAATTGTTTCAACTTGTGATTAAGTGAAAATCGAAATGATTCTGATTGTCCAACGAATTCATTTCTATATCATTTATCTGTGGTGTTTTTTTCTCTTCCTTTTCTCATCTTTACTTTTAATTACGTTTTCTCTCTTGTTTCGTGTGTCCAGAAATCACCAAAGATCAATATGTTGTTCATTCGGACCAAGGATTGAAACAAGAGGAGTTTTATTCAACTCAACAACCAAATCAGTCCAACGATGAGGATAATAAGAAATCACAACAACAACAACAACAACAGAATAATAATATCAACATGGACTTGATTCCTTCTTCCCGTTCATCACTTAATCCCGAAGTTCCTTATGTACCAGTTCAATCTTTAGGTATGTGATCTTTTTGCTCCGCAATCATTGAAACTCATTCCGTTCAATCAAATGAAACAATCATTTGGTTAAGTGTTTGAAACACAATGAACAAAAGATTTGAACGATGTTTAATTGTTCGGTTTGTTTAATTGTTCATCTTCCTTGGTGATGTTTTTCCCCTTTATCTTAATCCTCGATTGTAGCGGGATTTCAATATAGTTACGTTGTTCAAGGGCCAACAGGCCATTCTATGTCTACCTTACCTACGGGACACTCTGGTGATAACGGAAATGAGAAAAATATTATTGGCGGAAATTTAGTCCCATATTTTACTTCACCCGATTCGTACGGAGGATCAACTTCATCTAATGGGAATGGTACAGATAATCAGCTTTCGGAATCTATTAATCACAATCCATCAAATTATCACAGTATGTTAATTGTTGTTTTCTCTCCATCCAATTTAGTTTCCAAATGAACCAATTTAATCAAATTCTCATCTTCTCTTATACCTTTGCAGTTTTAGTCTCAGCGCCATGTTATCGAAGTCAATTACCAGCTGAATATGAATACGGGAAGCACGGGAATGTGTTAATGTGGAGCGATGTCAACACCTTTATGGCGTCGAGATGGAACAGGTCATTATTTGTGTAACGCTTGTGGTCTTTACTCAAAGATAAATGGTATGAATCGACCACCAATTAAACCACACAAAAAGATTCCCAATAATCGTCGGGCCGGATTATCGTGCTCAAACTGTGGCACTGGACAAACAACTCTTTGGAGGCGTAATATTGAAGGTGCGCCCGTTTGCAATGCTTGTGGCCTTTACTTTAAATTACACGGTGTCCCACGTCCGATGACGATGAAAAAAGACGGCATTCAAACGCGAAAACGTCGACCGAAAAATCCAGCAGGATCAACTAACACAATCCAATCAACAAATGGATTAGTTAATCAAGCAAATAATCATCATCACCATCAACAGCAGCAACAACAACACCAACAACAACAGCAACAGCAACAAATTCAAAACCCTCACCAATCCTTACAATCACAATTAGTTCAAGCCTCACAATCTCAATTAATGCATCAACAACAACAACAACAACAACAACAGAATCAATTAGTTAATCCATCATCAAATAATCCCCACATTCAGCCACCGATGATCGTCATGCACACAAGTGTAATACAATCTTTGACTTCACTCGATGATTAACCAAATCGACGAAACAATTAACTTTCTGCGCCTTAGCAAGTTGTCAATTCCGTCAGATGAAACTAGAACGGCAACAATCAGAATCGATAATCGTTCATCTAATTTTGTCATTTGTTTCAAAACATTTTTTTCTCATTAATAACTAATCAATATAATCATTATTTGGAGTGGAACCATTGAAAAAAATCTAATTTCTTTTGCTCGACTCATCATGTTTACTTTTTTTCTTATTGTAAAATTAGTTTTTCATATTTGGAGTGTCAATCAACTTGAAAATTGTCTCGAATGTGCCTGATTAGTGTTAATTAGACGAGAAAAGAAATTAAAATAATTCTCTCGGTTTTATTTTCACAAAGGATTTAAAAAGGAAGAGAAAACAAAATCATTTCGATTTGAAATAAACGAAAAAGTTCAATTCGATTATCCGAGATTTATATTATTGTATTTACATTTTTTTTTGTTCTAAAACAATTGTAATCAAAATGAATGTGACACTAAGATATTATTAACCTTTGCGTTTATTTTTTTTTCTGTTTGGTTATTGAGATGAGAATTTAATTTTGTTTATAATTGATGAATATTTTGAAATGTGTATGATGGCCATTGTTGATTTGTATATCTTTTGTTTGTCTGTTGGTTTTATCTATAGATTTTGGGTTGATTATAATTATTGTAATGTGTGTGTGTGTGTGGTTGTTGTTGTTGATATTGTTGTGTATCATTTTGTGGTGTTGATGTTTTTGATTACATTACGTACACTTTTTCAGCATCTTTTAAATCGTAAACCTCTTTACTTCGTGGACATATTATTTTACCACCATTTTCTATGGCCATTTGTTTGAGTGATAGTTCCCCGTAGACATTTCCGTTAGGAAGGACCATTGGATGATTATGTTCATTCAATGGTTGACCAGAGATGTGACAAACTAAACGAGATTGTGAACAATGGGAACAGGGAAGTGGTATGGCCAATTGGTTAAGGAGATCTGAGCAAACGGGACAATCGGGATTTTTTTCCGTATCTTTACTGTAACATTGAGGTGTTTTTAGAGCTGAAAGACCTGATTGAAGTGTTATTGCAAAAACAGAGGTTGGACTCAGTTGATACAATTTAAAATTAGCCAAACGAAATTGTTCAACTAAACTTGACCATCGGGTTTCATCAAAAAGAGACTTGTAGGGTTCAACTTCGGTATCTGGATTGAAAGCTAATAAGCCCATTACATGTTGTAGATCAACCTTTTGATCACCTTCCACACAGCTCAAGTATTTTCGAGCATGTTTGATGGCTTCAATTCGCTTGTTCTGTCTAATAAATTCAATAAACTCTTGTTGTCGAAGATTAAATTCTAAAGGACTTTTGATTTTGCGAAGTTTTGACTTATTGTCATGACACCAGGATAGACATTGTCCAGTTTCTTTGCGTAAAAGAGATTCTTCCACTTGTCGGGAAACTAGGAATAAATCGATATTCGTCAAATGTTCAATATTGGAATGAACAGCTAATTTGATCGCTGAATCATAATAGCCAGATCTTAAAAAATGTTCTACAAGCATTCGGTCCAATCGACGTTTTTTCCATTGATTGATGGAAGCTTCGGTTGTTCGTGGATTACAATATTCTTTAAGATGATCTAATCGACGTTTACAACATTTGGCAGCTTCCAATTCATCCATTATGCTTTCCTTAGCTTTACGCTTGAGAACAGTCAATTTCTCAACCACACCAGACAAGAGATCGGTAATGGTACTCACTGTAGGTAAACTGGACCCTTGACCAAGAACAGCTTTTTCCAAAGTGTTAACACAACTTTGAACATGACAAACCTCACGGTCGATAGTTTTCTGAGCTCCACGGAATTTTTTATTCAAAATCTCATAAGGTACCTTGAGGGTGGGGTGTTCAAGGCTCTTAATGTCTTGATTTTCCATAACAAAATCCATTGTAAATCTAATGGTTAAAAAGAAAAAATAACACAAAGCCACATGTTAATATAAAGCAAGAATAAAATGAAAGAAAAGAAAGACGTAATAGAGAAGATAAAAAATATAATCATTAAAAGAAAATAAAATCACAACAAACAGTCAAATTATCATTTGAAAAAATAGTAAAACTGTAAACTCAGCAACAACCTTTTCTCATCCGAAGAAAATGCTAACATTACCTGTAAAAAATAGCTTTTCTTAGCCACTAAATGGAGCTTCAGGAAGTACTTAATCACAGATAATTAAAAGAAAATACAAGAAATTAAATTTAATTCAATTTCCAAGTTGTTTTAATTAAGGGACAGAGAAAAAAACTGAACCTTTGTTAGAATGAAGGAAGAATCAAAACAAAGAAGTGTCTCCCTCTGGAAAAGAAAAAAAGAAACATCAGATTTTCTCTAGAAATGTGAATGTGAATGAGAATTTTTTAAAAAAATTTTCTGTTCCTTTTTTCAATTTATTTTCATCGATTAATTTTATCAATGGTAATTAATTAATTTAATTTATCTCTTATCTTAGTGACTGTTTATTTATTTAATTATTAAGTTAAATCAACATTTAGTCAAATTATTATTTTATTGTGTTATTGGTCCAAATTGAAAAGACAACATGGATAACGGAGTCAACAACATTAACCAAGATGGTCCGTACTGAGCCTGAATCTTTATCTATTTTTAATTAATTTTAACAATTTTCAAATTCATATTTATTGCCATATTTAATTATATTATTATAAATTTATATTATCATTAGAGTATTTCATAGAATATTTTTCTCTTTTTCTGTTCTCTTTTTTTTCCTTTCTCCCCTTTTCTCTCTCTCTTTCTTTTACCTTTCTATCTCTTTTTTATTCTCTCTCATCACTTTCCATCTTTTTCTCTCTTTATTACCTCTGCCTCTTTTATCCTCATCATCTCTACTTCCCTTTTCTTACTTTTTCCCTTTTTTACCTTCTTTTTCTCTTTTTTCTTCTCTTTTTCTCTTTTTTCTCTTTTTATTTTTACTCATCGACATCCATTTCTCTGTGTGATCCATTTTCGATGCAACAGAAAAACCTACAGCCTGTGATAGTCACATAACCATTGGGAAGCCGATCAACTCTCTGACGATGTCTCTCAGCTCTTCTCTCTCTATACTTTTTTTTGTTTTCACATAATATGGTAAAAAAACTAATTGCTTTAAATTCTAATCATATTTGCTTCTTTATTAAACAGATGATGCTTCTTCTCCTGATTTGTCAGCTGTTCAACAAACTGGTACATTGATATGTGGTCCTGGTGCCCTTCGAGCTTCAGCAATTCAAGCTGGATTGGTTAAACTTACACCGGAACAATATGAGTCCATCACCAAAGCCAAAAAATATGCCATGGAGCAAAGCATTAAGAGTGTTCTTGTCAAACAAACCATAGCCCACCAACAACAACAGCAAAAATCACTACAGCGGCATCAAGCTTTGGTGCTTATGTGCCGTGTTTATGTTGGAAGTATTAGTTTTGAGCTTAAAGAGGATACTGTTCGACAAGCATTTTTACCTTTCGGCCCCATTAAGTCAATTAACATGTCTTGGGACCCTTTAACTCAGAAGCATAAAGGGTTTGCATTTGTTGAATATGAATTACCGGAAGCTGCTCAGTTAGCTTTAGATCAAATGAATGGTGTCATGATTGGTGGTCGAAACATCAAAGTAGGAAGACCTAGTAATATGCCACAAGCAGCGCCGATAATTGAACAGATCACCAATGAAGCCAAAAAGTTTAATCGTGTTTATGTTGCTTCTATTCATCAGGATTTAACTGAACAAGATATTCAATCAGTTTTTGAAGCTTTTGGTAAAATCAAAATTTGTAAATTAGCTCAATCTCAGTATCCCGGAAAACACAAGGGCTATGGTTTCATTGAATACGAAACGGATCAAGCAACAAGTGATGCGATCACATCAATGAATTTATTTGATTTAGGAGGTAATTTGCTTCATCTTATCTTATTCAATAATAACTTTAATGAATCTTTTATCTCTCTATTTCAGGTCAATATCTTCGTGTTGGACGAGCAATCACTCCACCGAACTGTTTAGATGGACCCACTGCTCCTAGTACGATGCCAACTGCTGCAGCAGTCGCAGCCGCGGCAGCAACTGCCAAAATCCAAGCCATGGAGGCAACAGGTATATCGCCGGTAACCAATTCATCTTCTGGAACCTCTCCTTTAATCGAAGGAGTAACAGCCATTCCTGCTACCGGTTTATCACTTCCTACATCTTTAAATATTGGTGGCTCAACGAGTTTGATGGCTTTAGCAGCGACACAAGTACAACCCGTATTAGCCGCAAATGCACCAGGAATCATCACCGGTGTGACAGTAAATCCAGCCCCAACTCTCATCTCAACTCTCTCAATCCCAATAGTGACTCAACAAACTACTACTACAGTTTCACCAAATAGCACAATAACAACACCATTATCAACAATTACACTTAATAATAGTACCAATAACAATAACTCCTCAGCATCAAACACCAATGATTTAGTAAATAAGGTGGTTGTAAGTGGACTTGCAGCCGCTCAAGAAAAAGCTTCAGCACTCGCTGCTTCCAAAGAAATCGAAGCTAAAGAAAGTAACCCCGGAGAAGAGCCACAAACCTTACAGCAGCAAGAGAACGTTGTAATCAAAGGATCTAATGCTCGACAAATGTTGATGCAAAAATTGATGCGAAAAACAGAGTCTCGAGTTGTCGTTTTACGAAACATGGTCGGAGTAGAAGATATTGACGATGCATTAGAATCTGAAGTGACCGATGAATGTGGTAAATTTGGCTCAGTTAATCGTGTTATCATTTATGAAGAAAAACAGTCAGAGGATGATGATGCCGAAGTGATTGTCAAAATATTCGTTGAATTCAGTAACAGTCAAGGTAAGAGAAAAATTAATCACCAATTTAACACTAAAGTAATAATTTACTCTTTTTTTAATTCACTCAACAGAAGCCATAAAAGCTCGTGATTCATTAAATGGAAGATTTTTCGGAGGCCGAATTGTGAAAGCCGAAATTTACGATCAAACTCTATACGATGAAAAAGATCTCTCTGGTTAATGCATGTGATTTAATTTATAATATTTAATTCATCTCCACGATTACCCGAAAAAAAGAAGATTTATCTTTCTCTCTCTCCCGCTTTTCTCATAAACAACTACAAAATACAAACACAACCACACAACCACACAAACACACACACATACACTCACTCACACAAAAAGCCAAAAGCCAAATCGAAACGGTTTAAATAACTAAATCAACCTCATCATCAACAACAATCGTCGTGTTTGTCTCAATCTCTACCTATTAAATATTTTACTTATTGAAAAAAAAATGCTGAAAAGACGGAAGAAATTATTCAACAAAAAAAAAAGATTCGATGATAATTATGATGACAGAAAGTGAAACCGGAAAGCAACACAACAGCTTAAGGCTTAAATTGTAATCCTACTGATCTAAATCATCTTTCCTTCCTTTCTCTTTTCCCTGTTACAGTTCTGATTAAAATAATTTCCATCATGTTGAGGTTGAGGTTGAGGTTGATTGTGATGATAATTGTGTCGACAGAACCGGAATTGAACCATCCAATTGATTTCACTTGATTATAATCATCTTAAATTCTAATCATTGTTTATATCTTTCACTCACTAATCCCATCCGATTGTGAGTATCATTGGTCAATTCAAGTGATTTAATCTAATCAAATTGTCTCTCATTTATTATTTACTTTTTCCTTAATTGTTGATCTGTTTACTTATTTTTCTTTCTCATCTTCTCTTATATTTTGTTCATTTTTAACATTAGTTTTCACCGAATCAAGTGTTTCTTTTCTTTTTTTTTTCTTCTTTTAATTAGTTAATTAATTTAAATTCTTTACACTTTTCCATTCGATGATCATGACAGTGGCCCGGCGATTAAGTGAAACAATTGATCTGATTGAAGCCTTGATTAATGTTATCGGTACTTTGGCCGCTAATCTGTCTGAAGATTTAGCTGATAACCTTCAAAGGAAAACAATTAACTCCTCTGGTCGTACAATTAAATTAATTCAACAAGTGGTTGAACAGTTTCAAGCTCATCTCGTGGTTAGATTTGATCATTACAAGGTTATCACTAAATTATCATGACCAAGGTAAATCTATTATCACTTTAATTAACTTCCATCACCATCAGTTAATCGTCAACTTTAATTAATTAACTGTTAAAAAAAGCGCAACTTTTTCATTCGGTTCCCATAGAGACTTTAAATTTCAGCTGTGATTTTATTGATGATCAACTGATCGGCTTGAAATGTTGAAATAAACAAATTGATCGTTAATTTTAATCAATTCAAATTTCTATTGGTTATGGACAATATGAGTAAACCATCATCGCTAATCTCATTCGTTATCGTCAACAATTTGCTGATCATCACAAAGATTTGACTCTTAATTTAAATGTTTACACTGTGAGTATACAATCAGATTAACCTAATCATCTTGTGTCAATTGTCAACCTCTTACGTTTCTGTTTGTTTTGTTTTCTCTTCTTCTTTAATTAATTAGTTCTTGATTCTATTTGATAACTTTAATTGTTAAACAATGGCCCACGTTGGTGATGTAGAAAATCAATTAGATAATATTGAAACCGAAGAGAAGATTGAAAATGAAAGTGACCTGAAAGTGTTTTCTTTACGCTTTGAAAAGCAATCATATCAACTTGTTGTTGGAACAACAAATGGTTATCGTTTAGTTAACTACTTCGATCCAACGAATCCCGTTATACAGAAAGGCCTTTTGAATGAATCAATCAAATTGATCGAGTTAATTCCTAAAACTATGATTCTCACTTATGTTACCACTGATTCACCAAATAAGGTTAATTTTTATGAATATCACGAAACCGATGGAGCTTTTCTTGAATCTAAACTTTTCAGTAAATCGATTTGTGCTTTAAGAGCCTCAACATCGCGAATCGCAATTGCCGTCGAAAGTGGTGTTTACCTTTTTAGCAGTGAATTGACAAAATTTATGCAAAAACTTCACTATGTTATACTTAATGTACCAAATCCCCATGGATTGATTGATCTCTCTGAGAACGATTTTAATGCTTATCTTGGATATCCATGTAGTGCCATCAAAGGAGAGGTCGAAATATTTGATTGTCGAGTGAGGAAATCTAAGGTTATATTTGAAGCTCACATCAGTCCGATTGTTGCAATTTCTTTTAGTCCAACTGGACGAAGTGTGGCCACTGCCAGTGAAAAGGGAACCTTAATTAGAGTTCATATTGTTTTCACCGGCGAATGTGTCTATGAATTTAGACGCAGTCTTACCCGAACCATTTCCATCAATTCACTTGGGTTCGGCCTCGATTCCACTTATCTTGGTGTTACCAGTTCATCGACAACTATTCATATCTTTAAACTTGAACAACCAGTTTCTCTTGCATCTTCGGGTTCAAGTGCGATCATCGATGCAATCACGCGAACGGCTGAAGCCTATTTACCAACGGAAATTTCTAAATTGTTACACCAAGAACGAGCTTTCGCCTATGCAGCTTTACCCGTACCAGGAATGGATACAATTAGCATGATCCATAGAATCAGAAATTCTAGTCATCTAATTGTCGCAACGTTTGATGGTTTCGTGTACATTTACACTCTTGACGATATCAATGGAGGTGAATGTCGATTAATTAAAAACGTCGCCATTGAAAAAGATCTAGTGGGTGACCTTCACGAAGAAGAAGTAAATAAATGTTTTCTTGTTAATTAATTCCATTCTATTGACAATATAATTGATTGATCTTTTCTTAAATCTTTCTTACAGTGGGTTTTGGTTGATTAAAATTTCGAAAAGATAATCTCGATTAGTGGCAAACTAAATTAGAAGACGGAAATTTGACCGGATTGTGACCATTGACGATACAAAGATTGATTTGCCACTTTTTCAGATCGAAAATACCAATGTAATTTTGTACAGAACTTTTTTTTTAAATGTACATAATTTTTTTACGAAAAAAGTACCTATCGACCTGCGATACTAATCGTACAATAAACACTGAATTAAGTCTCACAATTAAGAAACAATTTAAATGAAATAAATGTTTTCTCACTATTTATGTTCATTATTTTGTTGAGCTTTTTTGAAAATTTTCTAATAATCGATTATTACTGTTGATTGATTTTAGTAAATTCTTCGGAACTTTTTCGAACAATATGAAACCGGCACTTCGTTCAATACTATCGATTGGCACTTGAAACGCTTTCAGGGGGATGTTATCGTCCATCGCTTTGTTTTGAATAACGTAACTTTCCAATTCATATTCACCAGTCTCATTCTCGATAAGAAGAACTTTGAAAAAATGAGTCGGCACGGCAACGTCACGATCTCCAATTACCTCATATTTAACGTACTTTTTACCTCCTTCGACTCTGAAAATTAAACACAAATAAGACGATTAGTTGGAACTGATTTTACCCTCGAGCAGTTTTCGTCTTTTTACCTTGGAAGGTACAATGGGCCAGTCACTGACCAAAGATTTTTCGATCGTCGAGCTCGATATCGAACGTATTTTTCTAGATTATTCCAAACACCTCGATTAAAACCAACACCAACTAAATTGTAGAAAGAGGAGAAAAATAAACATTAAATTAGAAATTATCTCAAAACAATTAACATTGAAAAGACTTTACCTTGAGGTGAGATATTTGATAGAATGAAGGTTTGACAGCCTTCCTCTTGTATCGATCTGTAATTGCCCGCTGGTGCTAAATGGCCTCTGTCATAACCACTCGATTTAAAATCTGTGTTTCGAGCTCTAAATGTTGGATGAATTGATTGATCTTCAAAAAAGTCACAATTCTTCCGAGACACTGAATTATTTTTCTCTAAACTGTTCGGTGTCAAATGCTCAAACACCCAATTAGCTGAACGTAATCGACGATCATAAGATAGAACAAAATTCCGATAAGTTCGAACTGAATCGAAACTTGGATAACCATGTTTCATGATGGTTGAAACTCTTGAAGTGGTATTTTCACCAGGAATCGGTTTGATTTGATTAGAAGGTAAAAGTAAATCATCAGTTGGTTTGAATGAATTCACAACCGAGGCATCAGCATGAACAATTAAATCACCTTGATTGCGATACTTTTCCACTAATACACCGCCAATACAACCAATTGTTGCAGCGATTCCCGTGTTGATATACTTTCTAAACATGATTCTAATTGTGAAATCAACACACACAATAATTAATTCTCTCAAATGAATCAGTAAATGTAAACAATTTCACTCACATGTTAAGGTAAAAAAGTTCAATCAGCTGATCAATTCTGTTACTCTGTTTTCATTCAAGGTGATTTTTCATTCAAAACAATGACTAATTCATCTTGATGTAATTTTTAGACACTTTTTACATTTAAATTAGCTTTTTATTATCAATTTCTAATGAAAAAAAAGTTGACATTAAAATGTACAATGATTTCAATCTTCTACATGATTTCATTTAATTTGTTTCTTTGGTGGGTTTTCACATTTCATGATGATTCTCGCATTGGTTTTAGTCTCATCTGTGGCAAGAAAATTATGAAAAAAATATAAGTTGGTTAATTACATAGACAATTACAATTCAATGAGTAAGACTAACCATTGATCCTTCAAGAAAATGTTCATTTGATTGATTTACGGCAGAAAGAAACGATTGTTTATCGATGAAAGTGATGAAACCAAATTTCTCAGATAATCCTGTTTCTCTGTTCTGTATAAATTATTAAGATATTAGAATTTAGAATTTAAGATTCTAATGACAATATGGATGTTACGATCAATATTTTAGTTTAAAACACTTACAAATTTAACTGAAACTTCAGCCAATGAACCAAATCGGGAAAAATATTCACGAAGCTGAACTGTAAACAAACAAAAGAGATTATCACAAATCCAATTTAATTTTATTCTTGAATTGAAAACGAAAAGAAATGGAAACTCTGTTCAATATACTAACCTCGACCAACGGTCCAAGCAATGTTCGACACAATACACTTTACTGGTGGCATAATTAGTAAAAATCTATGATAAAATCAATCACAATTAACGATAAATGATTAACAAGATTTCACGTGTTAATTGAAAAAATTTTTTTTCCTTCTTTAGATCAACAAATAGAACCACCAGATGGCGCTTGAAATGAATTCTATTTTAAATTGTTGTGGACTAATTAGTGATGAAATTAATTACTGATTGCTAATCAGTCAGATGATATAAATACACATAAATAAATGTAGAAAGTTATAATTAAAATGAAGATAAAATCTCTTCAATAATATTCTTTTTTTTTCTTCCTTAAAGAAAATACATTTAGGAAAATGTTTGAAATTTTCGTTTTTCTTGTTCCAACATTAAATTGAATTAATTTGCTTTATCGGCGGTTGAATTGTCAGTTGAATTTACTCCACCACTTGGATTATCAAGCCAAATTTTGAAATTAAGTAAAGAAGCAAAACTGGTCCATAAAAGGTATGGAATCATCATGTAAGCAGCGGTTTTATTGACGGGATAAAAGGTCGCAACACAACCACCAATAACTCCAATTAGAGCTAAGATATCGGCCAGAGCGAGGTCGATTCGTTTAGCACCGAAAAAGAGAGGAGTCCAAAGACCATTAAGAATTAGATTAACACCATAAACTGTCAACGGTAATCTCGCTGGTCCATTGAATCCACCACCATCGCGATAGATGAGGTATGAGGCTGCACCCATGGTGGTGTAAAGAGCAGTCCAAACGATTGGGAAAGCGATATTAGGTGGTCGCCATGAAGGTCTCTTCAGTTTCTGGAATGGAAAAACAAAAATCACAATCAAAAGCAGAAAATAATAGCAAACAACCTGAAACAATCAGCTGATTGAAGTATCGGTGAGTGGAAAACTAAATTTATATTATGACAATGATGATTGAGAAAATGATTGGAAAGTTGTAATTACCTCATACCAGGTCGGAATCGCTGCCCGAGTGAAATTGGATCCAGCCCATCCAATCAAATTGGGCAAAGCGACGGCACTGAAATGAACAAAGAAACAATTAGATTAACATAAATGAAGTGAAACCAAACAAAGAAAAAGTAAACAAGATAAACCAAAGGAAAGAAAGAAAATGAATCAACTAATTTTCACCCATTAACTAGTAATTAAATCAATGTCATTATGATTATAGTCTCTCACCAAATAATTAAAATTGTAGTTTTAACAGTTTGATTCATGGTGATTGATGATAATCCAAATTAAATTGACCAGAATCAATTAGCAAATCATCAACACAAAAAGTAAACAAAATGGATACTCACCCAACTTTGGATAGGAGGTTCATCTTGATAGAGTGAAAGTTATAAGAATAACAAGTAGTTCTAATTCAATTTATTTATATTAACAATCAGTCTACACAAAAGGTTAACAATAAAAGAGACACTCAATTTGCACCAAGAGAAATTAATTAACTAATTGAGATAAACAAATGATTAGAATCATAAAAAGAGACAAAGATAAACAAGTTGTGTTGGTGACGCTCTCTGGTTGGATTATCAGGGAAACTTTATTTTCTTGGTCGTTTTTAATTGCGATTGTTTTCAAAATTCGTGATTTCTGATTACTCAATTAGACAGAATTAAATTAATTTTCTAATATTCTTTGTAGACTAACAATATCAATAGTTGGTAAGTTAATTGTTTACATTGATTGTTTAGATTAATGATCCAGTCAAAATTGAAAGGAAAAAATTATCTGGTAACAATTTATGGTAATTAAAAGGATTACCAGAATTACATGTATGAGAATTAAAGATTTGACCTAAAGTCATTGATTTAAAAATCATATTAACAGTTAATTGTCTTTCTTTGGTAATTTCAACAATTTGGAAGAAGAGATTTGTCTTTATCTGAGCCGATCCACAGATCCATAAAAATAAACCATAGAAAGGGATTAACAGGATTATCCCGATTACTAGTTTGATGAAAAATTGACTTATGATGCTGATCAAACGGAGAAATAGGAAAACAATATAATAAAGTAATATCGTTGGAAGAAGGAAGATTAATATGGTGAAACAAACTGTTCCAATGAATAGCTGATCATGTCCATAGGAATAAGAATCGACTCGGTGTTTTAAATTGTTCCACTTTTTACCTCGAAAAAGTCGCCACAGGGAAATTAAGCCCGACAATTGGAAACAATAAAGTCTAGCAGCATATCCGTAGAAACAGTAAATGTGAATTGATGCCAATGAGATGAGATCGGAAAAAAAGCTCAATACAAATGTGATTCCAAAGAAACTGATTAATCCAAGAAGATCAAGAACCAGGGATAAGAATGGACGGATTAGAGTAATATAAGCTTTCCAAATGTGAATATGATAGAGGAAAAAGTTTCCAAGGGCAGTGTTCAATGGACGATTTAGTTTAAGACCAGCGGGCATTCCGATTAGATTGTAAATCAATTGTTCCACTTTTGATACAATTGATTCCATTATTGTGAGAAAAGATTCCAACAGGTTAGATGGAGAGGTTACTTGTGAAATGATTAGAAAAAATAAGAAACTTAGAATCAAATCAACGATGATTAGACTTATAATGTTGAAGATCTTCACAGTCAAAAGATTGTTGTTGAAGTTATTCCAACAAAATAAACTCTCCTCGAAACGGTGGTAAATTAATCTACCGGTGGTAGTATAATCAAGAAGATAATCAACCCATGATGAGTTGGACCTTTTAATTGTTGGTGGATTGGTAGTCACTTTTGACACTTGATTGCAGGGGATAAAGGATTGAATTTCCAATTGATCACTGGTTTTCTTGAGAATCAAAAATTTCTCAATAGTCTGAATACAGAATTTACAAATTGGTTCTTCCAATTGATTTAATTTGGCTGGTCCATCAAATTTGGAATGAGATGTTATCAAATGATGTGAATTGTAGATAATCAAATTAACCGGAATAGTTTGATTACATTTCCCATTTATCAGTAATTCCTTGATGGTAACATTGGTGTTGGCTAAAAGATGAACAAAGAACGTTTTTCCAGCTTCACTTTTAATTGTAGATCGTTCTGATAACTCTGAAGATGATGTTGATTTATCCAAGAATCCTAATAATTTGGGTAAATTTCTTCTCTTAATTAATCTCTTAATAATCAACTGATCACAATTTGGATTGAATCTCCTAACAGCCAATATGTTCACATTAAGTATTTTCTGGTTAATCTCTTTCAAACCAAATAAGATAAATGATGAGGTTTCACGTTCTAAATTAATCAACAAGTTGTCATCAATTAAAATATTAACACAATTAAACTCCATCGTTTAAATGTCAATCTAAATGCAATTGTTTTCTTTAAAAACATATGACAAGATGATTGTAAACACAACAAAGTCTATTCTCACAGCAAGTTGACTAATTCAACAGAAGATCAGTTTTTTACCAGAATAAACATTTTGATTGGGCAACGACAAATTGTCACGATTAATTGAAATGTTTGACCTTCACGAAATCGCCTCTGGATTGTTGAACCTCTAATTCAGCTTTCGTCAATTAAAATTTCCATTAACAATCCATTAAAAAGACGTAAAAATATATGACAACAAACGACTTCCTCATGTAGCTAATTGTTTTGATTCGCGCTACTTAATTAATCGTAATTTAAATTAAATTCAACTCTCTCTCTCTCTCCCTTGTTTCTAAATAGTGAACTTTAGAAAGAGTCTTTAGTCAATAAGATTCCAATTTAAACAATTAATCAATGTGATTACTTTTCTGCCGTTTAAATGAAGAGATAAAGGTTTAAATTGGATTAGATAAAAATCTAAATTGCTCAACACTGGGAAGATCAACTACTGAATATCATGATATGATATTAGAACTTTAGTAAACGAGGAAAAGTTTCATTTCGAGTTGTATCGATTAATATACTTGTTAAGAACTTGTTCTCAATAATTTAAGAGATAAATTCAAGTAAATTAATTGATTACCATTCGTTTGCAAAAATGAAAAAGGGAAAAACACTGAGATAAGATTGAAGAGATTAGTTTCTCAAGGTAATCAAAATGCAGATTAATTAATTGAATTTCGTAATAATCAACAAAATTTCCAGTAATCACATAAATATTTTTCTCATCTTCCATCTTGTTCACATAGAAACGGAAACTTGTCCATAGATCTGGTTGAGAATCAAGGTTATCTTGTCTCGAAAGACCTGAGGGAGAGAGCAAAGAGTAATAACTATTACTCTTTGGGAGAGAGACACAGAGTGAGAGAGAAACAAAAATCAACAATAATTAACTTCATCAGTTGAATTTATTTTTTCCTACTACTTAATTAAGTACAATTTCATTACGATCATGTTAATTTTTCTTTTAGTTTTTTGTGTTTTCAGCTTATTACCAATCAATGTCAGTGGGTATCACCATCCGCATCGGTATTACAATAAAACACATGAAGGTAAACTGACCGTTACTATCCCCTGGTCAACTGTCATTGGTAAACAAGAGCGGATTCTTGGTAGACCGATTGGTGTTTTTCTTGGTATTCCTTACGCTAAACCACCGGTGGGTCAACTTAGATTCATCAAACCAGTTCCTCTGGATCCTCATGATGGTGAATATAATGCCACATTCTTCCGACCGCCTTGTCCCCAGCCCCCAAATGTGAACACGAACTATCCCGAAACAAGTGAAAATTGTTTGTATCTGAATGTCTGGACACCGGTCATTAGCTCATCTTTAGCCTCGAACCATATTGAAAGTTCATCTCTTAAACCAGTCATAATATACATCTATGGAGGTGGTTTTAATAAAGGTTCAGTTCATGAAAAGCGACATCAAGGTGACATATTGTCCTCTTTAAGTGACACCGTTGTTGTAACGGTTAATCATCGGCTCAGTATTTTTGGATTTGGTTATAGTGGAACTGAATCAATTCCTGGTAACATAGGAATCTATGATTTAATACAATCCCTTGAATGGGTTAATCAAAATATTGAACATTTTGGTGGGAATCCTAAAGCAGTTACTATTTTTGGCGCTTGTTCTGGTGCTATGGCTGCATCGGCATTCATTTTATCACCAATCGTGGATGCAAAGTTAATCGATAAAGTTTATTTAGCTTCATCAGTGATTAGTCCTCATTCGGCGATCAGAACACAAGAGGAAACTTTTAACTTGACTCGAACAGTGGCGGAAATTGTCGGTTGCGGTAACGCTGATGATCCAGAGGCCACTAAACTTACCGATCAACAGGTTGACTGTATGAGAGGCATCGATGCTCAGGTTCTAATGAATGCTTCGTTTAGCGACCCAGTTATGAATCAATTGTCGTACAAAGAAACACCGCCTTTCGTAATGATTTATAATACTACACTTCTTCCGATTCCCCCCGATCAGTTGGTTCTTGAAAAATACCCTCGACGTCGAGTTCCAATTCTCTTTGGTAACGAACAAAACGAAGACGAAATTTTCACAAAACTTTGGCCTGCGTCAATAGAAGAAGCTAAAAAAATGCTAAATTACATGATCATGAGAACTTATCCTAATACAACAGAGGAACAAGTAGAAACAGTTTTCAAATATTATTTCGATAAAGTTGAAGATTATAACGTCATGGAGATTAAAGGAGCACTTTCATTAGCTGCGGGCGATTATCTTCACCATTGTCCATTGTTACTTTACACCGAATCTTGGACTAAGAACGGACAAATAACTCATGGTTACTTAGATGCTTATGTAATGGATGGTTTCAATAAGAGCGAAAGGCTTTTCGGTACCAAACATGGTGACGCCGCTTATCAAATTCTAGGAAAAGCTTATCATGAGTACGATACTTTCAGTGATCGCGATCGACGAGTAACAAGACAAATGATCAAATTTATAAAGAGTTTTGCTTATGGTCAAAGATTAAATTGGCCTCCGATGTTAACTGATTCGTCGAAATCTGTTCTACCTCTTAAATGGAGATTAACGAAAACAATGGATACAAAAAACATTTATTCGGACCCGAAAGACGATATTTGTCATTTGTGGGGGGAAATTCGACAATTGGTTGTTGGTTAAAATCGAAAGTAGAAAAAATGAAAAGTTTCTTTTTTGAAAATGCTCTAATTTAAAATGAAATTAAATTTGCAATAAAAGACAATTTAATATACTCGTTAATATATTAGACTGTTTCGTGATTCTCGAAAATTGTTTCGACTTTTCCATTAACTAGTTACAGAAATTTAAGACAATCTATTGGACTTTTGATTAATCGACTATCGACAAAATCAGCTGGTCTACACACTTTCTTTCTCACCTTTTAGTTTACCTTTAATTACTTGTTTATTTCTCTCAAAATTTGATTCTTATCAACTGAATTGTAAGTTTAGGATCAATAGTATTGAATGAAATTCTAATTGTTGTGTTTTCATGCTTAATTTCAGAAAATGGATCATTCAATTATCAAAAGTGATCCAGATTCAATCGCGAGTGGTTCAGGTTATCCAAACCCAAGAAACGCCGTTGAAAAAGTTACAACTGGAATTCAACAGATTGACCTTAATGATCGTGCTAAACAAGAACCAATGGAGAATGAGTATACCTTCATTAAAGTACAATTAAACATAATGAGAGGTCTTTATAACCGAAAAAATGGCCGTTCTCTCCCTTGGGATGCTTTCGCTCAATTTTGTTCGTGGGTTGAAACGAGGCCGGACTATTTTGATAAATGGACTGTAGAAAATTTTTTCATCGCTTACAATTCTTATTTTGAAAAAATAGAGAAGAAAAATAAGAATATAACTCGAGCTCAAGAACAGCGACTCAAGGATGTGGCCGAATTTCATGAGCAATTTAAATGAAAAGCCAATAAATTGATCATTTTGTCTTAATTATTTATTCGTTTTCTCTATTTCATTGATTGAGTTACAAAGTATTTTTTCATGTTCGAAATACATATTATCTCAGTTTAGTTTCATTGAATTGGAAGCGGACTTTTAGGTGCGATCGATGGTTCATATTCTGGTTCGATACCTCTTTTGGGTTTATTTGGTTTGTTCGATGGAACCATTGAAATACAATCGATAATTGGACAAACCGAATAGCATAAAGTACAACCAGTACAATCATCTGTTACTTTGGGTATGTGGGTTATCGGGTCAAAACTTATCGCTTGATAACCAGAGTCGTTACAAGTCATGTAACATTTACCACAGTTGATGCACATATCCTATTTTAAGGAAACAATTAAGAAAATTAACAACGATAAAGGATAAAAATGAGAGTTGATACATTTACCTCATCAATTAAAGCAACTACTTGTTGTTTAGTGTCCAGTTCACCAAAGGCTCCGATTCTTGGTACAGCTTCAGCAACGATTTCCTATTCCAAAAGAGATACAAAAATTAAAAATTGAAGAAAAAAAAGAAATAGGATTACCTTTATTCTTGGAATTGATTTGATTTGTTGTTCACTTTTAGTCGAATTTAGATCACTTTGATTCATGTTTGTTTCGATTTGTTGTTGATTGAAAGATTTTCGTCTCGAATCTCCGATCATATTTTTTTTCTTCTCAGCAAATTCACCGAAATTCGGTAATCCTTGACCAATGGTTCCAACTGGTTTACCTTTCTGATGCTTAGGTGTTGGTGGTGATTGAAAATTCCAATCATGGTAAAGTTCTGGATGAGCTTTTATGTAGAGACAAGCTCTGAGTCCATCAATATAATCATCGATTAAAGTAAAGTCTTGATTCTGAACAGACTTGAAGTAACGATGCACCGGCCATGATAAAGAAAAAGAAAACAGAAAAAGGTGAACTTGATCCATATGTGGTCAAAAGAATGGACGCTGGAGCTGAAAAGCAGAAAAAACTCGCTTTACGAAAATGAGTTAAAAGTCGGAATATGTTCCATGCGTCCCAGCGATCGCTTTCTGACATTTTAGCGTCAGCTGACAACGAACCATTTAGACCTTTCTATTTACCGGTTAATAGGTATTATAATTGTTACTGTGATAGTTGTTCAATGGACAAAGGTTACGATAAGTTCATCAATTCATCTGATCGTGTTCCTGATTCACCGTTTATGTTTCAACTTAGTTCATCAACTTTATTATTAATATCTCAAGCTTCATCTCCCTCACCAATGGATCAAGTCTTACCTGTGAAGGTTGATAATTTTGACCAACTTGATGACCATTATTTTGAAAATTGTGGCTTGTTTAATGATTTTACTCTTGAATCAGAGTTTATTGTCGATGGTGGTGATGAGAATGAAATCAACGAAAATGTCAAAGAAAATATATCCGTTGAAAGTTTACTTCTAAATGGTTTAACCTGTTCTCAATTGTCAAAGGATGGAGGTGATTCCTTGATTCGTTCACAATCTTTATCTCAATCCCAGAGATC